CCAGTTCCCTCAGGACCCACGGATGGATCTCATCGGGTTCCATGGACTTGTGCACCTTCAGATGCCTTAGATGGTCTTGAACCTGATGTTCTCCCACGGTGGGCGGCTCTTCATTCTACCAGTCCCCACCTTTGCCTTCTGCGGCTTGGGCAGTGAGGCTCGAGCACTTGCCGGTGAAGACAGAAGCAAAAAAAAGTCATTGAGTACCTCCGCCTTCTCTGTGTCCTGGGTAACCTGGTCTCCCGTTTCGTTCCGGAGAGGGCCTACGTTTTCCCTCATCTTCCTCTTATCCCCAACGTACCTATAGAATCTTTTCTTGTTCCCTTGATGTTGAGTTTGTTTAACTTAATGTGTTTGGTTTAACTTAATGAAGTTAAATATGTAATATGTGCATATTAAGCCAAAGTACTTGCATCAAAAAGGTGACGATGTGCTGTTTTCTAGGATTGCAAAGATGAAAAGACATCAGCTGCTTATATATTTTCAAGCACACTTTTTTGGTGATTAAAGGAGTTCTGTTCGCAGCAGTGGCTCACCCTTTTATCATCTGGAACATGATCTGGGAGTGATTACAACTCTTGTGAGCAAAAGTTGCTTAAAAGGAGCTGTAACTGTGGGATGTTGGCAAGGCCTCTGCAGAATCTTGTTGATGTTGGGGGGAAAAAGTGATGATGAAACCTTAATTCTGGTGCTTGGAGGTGGTTTGGTTTTTTGTTTTGGTTTTTCCCTCCAGAGGACAAAGCCCTTGTAAAATGCTGTTAGAGCTCAAATCGGCTCTTAAGGCCAAGTGTCTCTGGACTGCTAACCATCAGCCATAGGTCTCCCATAATGAAGATCATGGCAACGGGAGGCAGCGTTTAAAAACAAAACCGCCACAAGCATTCTTCTTGCATCTGAATGTTTACATTTATTTCTTAAAAGAAATGTGTGTATTTAGTCCCTGGACTGGCCATGGATTAAAGGACAGCAGGTAGATCCCTGTATTAATGGCTTCATTGACTTGTCATTGTAACTGGAGGTATGAGGACTCTTGCCTGCACCAACCCTTGGGCTTGCCAAGCCGCCTGGTAAGTCTCTTCACACCACAGAGTTTAGGTCACCTTGCAATAGCTAGTTAAACGTAGAAAGTTTCTTTGCAGTAATGTTTCCCTTTGCTTTCAAGTTAGAGTATTGGTCAGCCGTAGTTAACCCTAACAGACCCCTCAGCCTGTTTTAAAATCAAAACACCCTCACATGCTCTACTATGACACTCTTAGTCATATGGTTTAGTTTTAGGTAGTCCTGCAAGGAGCAGGGAGTTGGACTCAATGATCCTTATGGGTCCCTTCCAACTTGAGATGTTCTATGTTCTAACTCAGGTTATGTCATTGCTTTTTTTTTTTTAAAAATAAAAATACAATATGTGTATGGTGTTGGTGGATGTATGAGGTAGAGAAGCCTAAGGTACCAATTTTTGGTATAAAAAATATTTTGCATCAGTCAGGAAAGGATCTAAAGATGCTGAGAAATTGGTTTTTAACTGGACTTGAGAATGGGAAGAAGGATTGTATTCACCTGATGAAAGAATGTTTTTCAAAGTGCTTTTTCCCCAACATGGGCTCAGAAGTGGCGCTCAGGCTGCAAAGAAAAGCGACGCCTGTCTCTGTCCTCGTCTACTGAATCCTTAACCCCACAGCGGGTGGAGGGGCAAGATGAGACACTGTTTAGTGTTTGTACCCGCAACTGGACTCAGCGGAATAAGCCTTTCGCTAGAAGGAAGCCTTGCGCACGTGCCTGTAACACTGCTTTACCTGTCTTTTTAAGCAGTTGTTTGTTCACTCTGAACTGCCTGTGCTTATTGCTGTTACGAATTTAAGCAATTGCAAAAAGAAAATGGCAATGTGTGTGCCTTGGGCATTGGCCTTGTTTGTTTTAGGGGCTCAGGCTAGGGAGTTAACTGTAACTGATGTTAATGTTTCAGTATTTTCACTTAGGAGCTTTTACGTACAGATTAGTTTTCTTAAAAGCTGATTCAAAGCCCAGATGCTAGAGGGTTTGGGTTTTTTAATGTATAATAGAGTAGGAAAGTTAGTCTTGTCCTGTTCTCTGTTCTGTCTCGCCCTTCTTCCCCAAGGTATGTAATTTCAGATAAAAATCCAATTAATGTTGAAAAGTACAGCGAAGATTCTGGGGCAGCATCAAGAAGCTCAAACATCCCAAAGCGTTATGCAACTGATGGCATAAAGGGCTTTTATTGTTCTTTCAGCCCTTGTGTTGTATCAATTCAGAAAACAGATTAAGTCTTGCAGGAATTGATATTCTTAGAAGATCCTGGACAGGATCTATGAGCAGGAGAGCAAGAATTTTGCAAGAGTTCAAACTTTTTGCTGAAATTAGAAGGGTTCCGGATCATGCAGTACAGCAATATTTACATTTTTTCTATTCTACAGCTCTGTCTTAGAAATATTCAAACCTAAGCGCAGTCTGCACTTGTTCACAGGGATGGATGTACTCCTCTAGCTGTATCAACATCTGGTTTGGCTTTAGTAGTCCAAGGTGCATGTAGCCAGGGGCAGGGGCTCCCCAAGGAGACCAGCACACCTAAATAAAAAGAAAAAAAATCTGTGAGAACTGAGTTAAGAGGAAGGCATGACCTGACAGTCAACTTTCTCTATTTGACTTTCCTTAGTTGGCTGCGTTGAGCTGGGGGGGTTGCACAACCCAGAAGGGAGTAGGACAGACAAGGATGAAGATGCGGCCGAATCGTTTTGAGGAGGCCCTGGTTTGGCACCTCTTGGGTACAGCCTTTCCCAGGGAGTTTCAGGGAAGTCTCTTGGGATGTAAACTGCTGTTCCTGAAGGCTGTAGAGATGAAGGTAGCTCCTAATCTGAAAATAAAGGGGCAAAACCTCGGTGTGTGCGGAGGGAAGGTTCCTGGCTGGAGAGCAGGCTTGCATGTGCTGGTTTCACGGGAATAGTATCGGAAAGAAATTCTGTGTGTGGTGGGGGCTGTTTTTGCAATGTGAGAATATTTCATTTTGATGATTCTGATGAGGATGAAATGCTTCAGGTTTTTATTTCTAAAATGACTTTTCAGTTAGGTTAGAAGATATGATGGGTTTTCTGTTTGCTTTTAGAGCTCAAATCAACCCTTAAAAGCTGAAATCAGAACCTACTCTTTTGATTGGGGCAAAACGCTTCTGCAGCCTTCGTTTCCAGAAGTGTTGTGGTGGTGGCTTTTCACTGCAATAAGTAAAAAACCTGGTATTTGTGATTCTTGCCTGAGACAGGACTTGCATGTTGGAAAAAGGCCTAACTTGGATCATTGTCAACAGGTTTCTGTCTCCTTTGCTCTGTGAGCAGGGAATACCTGGGGAGGTTTAAGAACCTATAGCTTCTGGGC